AAAAGGCAGTGCTCAAAAGGTGGAGTAGATTCCAACATAATTAGTCTGATCGAACATAATTTAAGGCGCAAGACCTGTGTATTATATTATTGTAATCATTTTCAGTTTAATATTTTAAATTTAGTATGTTCCATTTAGTATTCTAAGTTTAGTAGGATTCATTGTACTATATAAAAAACACTTATTAAAAAATATATTAGAGCTTAGTTTTTTATTGTATACCAAGATGCATGTTACTATGAATTATTTTAATAAAATGATAATTTTGTTATTCTATAAAAAAATCATTAAGAATTTCATAAGGATAGAATTGTCTTTTTAATGGTCAAAAAATCATTTTCAAATTAGATGGTATCCAAAAGGTCTTTCTATATTTTTTAGCACAATAAAATTACTTTATTTTTTTTAAAGGAAAAACATTTTACACCTAGTTATAGAGGTTTTATCATTTTTTATTTTTAAAAATAGTAAAATAATTCATTTAACCTTGAAAGCAAAGATTTTATAACCTATAATCAGTAGCCTTTGCATCATTTTATATTGGGTTTTTTTTTTGTAATATTCAACTTTGTTGAGGGCTTTTTTATAATTAATTTAATATAAATATTATTTAAAATTTTTTTTGCAATGCACGTATTAGCATATAGATTTTCTTTGCATCCTTTGGAATATTCTTGAGAAGCCATATGGTGCTCAAACTTCGACATCCTTTTGTTTAGAGAACATGTTCCAAATGGCTCTTTAGTTTAGCGTGGCCAACTTCTTTTTGTTTATTGTTGGTTTATGTACTGACCCTCTAAAATTTAAAAGCAGCCCTTCATTTATTCTTTTTTTAGAGTTAATTTTTATTTTTTTATTACTATTTGTTTCATTTAAGATAATTTATAAAATTTAATTTGTTTATTTAAAATATCATCTCCCTTCAATTTTTTATTTTTTATATTTGGTCCTTCTTTTCTTAGTTGATATTTATTTTATTTGAGATGATTTTTAAAAGTTTTTTTTTATTATTTCATCATCCTTTAGTTTTTTCCTACTAATTTAATTCTTATTCTTTTAATTACTATTTTTTTTCTTGATAATTTTTTTAAATTGATATGTTTTTCTAATTTTATACTTCAATATTGAATTTGTGAAAAAAAATAAGCTTTTTAATTAAGCCTGGATTTAGGATTTCACTGATTATGAATTTGGGAGATTAACCTAATTTAGAAAATTCACTCGGGTTTGCTTCATTTTTTTTCTCGAATCTTTCTATTTGTTGTTCTCTATTAAATTTAGTTTTTTTTATATATAGAAATCTTGTTTTTGAACTAAATTAAATATAAACATGAGATGTTCATCTCGTAATCTTTTATTTAGTTTTTCTTTTAGGTCATTACTCTAATAGTGTGTATGGTTTGTTTTGGTGTTGTCATAGAGCATTTTACAATGACATTAGAATTATTTTGACAAGGTTTTTCTGGTAGTTTAATGGTGTCCATGATGGAACAATTGTAGGTCTCTAATTGGCTTTTCTTTCTTTTCCTCTCAAAATCGTAATGACAACTTACTTTTTATGGTTAATAATTGTTTTTTTTTTCATATTATTTATGATGTCTTGTTAAATCATATTATTAAATTGATTGGGTTTATTGAACTCAGTTGAGTCATTAATCTGGATTTCATATTTTTCTTACTTCTTTCAAAACATTAGCATTGCCTTAACATTTTGTTTTTTACATTAAAAGAAATTTAACCCAACTCATGGCATAACATGGATCACCTATCTAGTATATAACTAAAATTGAGGCAAATCATAATACAATTTCAGCACTATCAAGCCTCAAGGCCTCTCTTATTATTCTTCCTTTGTTTTTAATCTCTTCCTTTTCTTATAATGTGAATCTTAGAAGCATGCATTCTCCCCACCTTTGGACTTTGAGAGAAAGCTCTTAAAAATTTAGAAATGGTATTTGACTTGTGCTTGATCCCTTGGGAAACATCAATGGCCATAAACAAAGAAAAGAAAGTTTAATAGAGTTAGAAACTTGTTGGATTTTTAAATGTCATACACGTAGTATAAATAATAAAACAAAATTATTCAAGAATTTCTAGAATCATGTTAGATAGATTTAGAGTTATTTAGAAATTTATCACCTGAAGGTGTGATCTTTTTTGGCTTTAAATAATTCTTTAAAGGCTAAGTCGTTGTAAATTATAAATCATTCAATTATCCGATCTTCAATGGTAATCTACACGAATCACCAATGAGAAATCTCTTAAATCTTTATTTAAAAGAGAGTGATTGCTATGCTTAAAATATTAGCTCTATATTTTGTGACTTGCATAATTTTTTTATTCAAAAGACAAACGATTTGAAAACATAAAAAAATAATTTTAAATAATTTTTTTTAAAAAAATATTTAAAAGACACGGTTTCAATCGCGTTTCTCAAACATTATCTTAGTTGTATACATGTCATTTAGAGAATCACAATATATATTTGAATTTTTATTTGTGACCCTAAATGAATATCTGGAAGTTTATTCATAAAAATATATACAACTTATGGTTTTGATTCAAAAGAGAAAGTTGCATTGTAATACATGGAAGGTAGAACTTGCTTCAAAATACTTATCACCATGATTTATGTAATTTGAACTCTTTTGTTCTTGGTGTAAATGATATTGTATCGATGAGAAAAAATTTAAGGATATATGAATATTGAATTGGTATATATATTATATGTTGAATAGCCAAGGGAGAGAATGTTAGCGACGTTTTAATTTTTTTAATTAAAACATTATTTTATGCCCCATTATTCATTAATGATTAAATAATAAATTTTTCCATATTAATTAATTTTCCCCTGAAATGTTATATAAAAAGGGTTGTATATTTTAAATATGTTAACTTTCCATGGGTTATATATATATACACACACACCTTTAGATGGGAGAGAAGT